TTCCCCTCCCATGCTGTTCTAGTTTCATTGCCTTCAGATCAGGTTCGTCATCCAAGAAGAAGTCAGGCAACAGAGGATGACCTAAAGTAAAGTGGGAGGGGAAAAAAAAAGGGGTAAGTCCAAAGTCAAACAGTCAAACTGCACAAGCAAGAATCCATTTTGTATGAGCAAGAACCATTTTTGTACTAAAATAAACCCAAGTTTGTGTGAATAAATAAAAACATAGCCTGAAGGAAAGACAGGCTAGCAGTAAGGCAAAGCCATACATTTGGTTTTTTAGATTTTTGTTCATTTTAAATCAGAATCCTTAAGTTTGCAATGAAAAACACACAAAGAATAAAAGAAATCATCCTAGCAGATGGTAAATGGTAATATTTATACATAAATGTACTCTATATAGTGCATTTCCTCCCTCTTAATGCATTGTTTTTATTTAACAGACACTGAATGGTCAGAACCTCAGTAGACTGATTTGCCCTTTCCACAAATGCGTTTTCTGAATTTTAGGCAAAAGAGCTAAAGAACTAAAAGAACTTTGTTACAGAAGTAACTTAGGAACCTCTGCGAATAGCACCACCACTACCACAAAACCAGAACAAACCTCTGCCATCCAGAACAGCCTTCCTTACTGAACTGAACTTCCCGAGTTAAAGAACTGTTTTACCTGGTGCAACTGCATAGACATCAAAATCCTTAACTCCTTCTTCTCTCAAGAGAGATTCATCAATAACGAAGTTTCCAGTGAAACTTTTTGGTTTTGTTAAAATGCAATATGCAGCATCTGCAAGAATGTCGGTTTTCCTGCACTGTTTTTCTATTCCGCTTCCTCCCAGCATATCCATAGCAGCTGTATAAATGGCTAGAAAGAAAAAGAAAACACCCATTGATGAACACGTATTCCCATCTCTCACCTGACAGGTAAACCAACGTTATTTTTCTTTCACAGAAAGGAAAGCATAGAAGACAAAGCTATGAAATACAACCTACAAATGCAACCAACAAATAATTCTTTTCAAATGCCAGTGACAAACAAAAGCTATTTACAGAACCAAAAAGAAGAATAATGTCTAAAGGCTCTTAACACATTCACATCCCACTCATCCTCTTATCAATGTACATGCATCTGCACTAGTCTTTTCCCCGCATGGAATTTTTCCAGGTTATTCAGGACATGAAAAATTAGCAGAACTATCTTTCTCAGAGTGAATGTATGATATCAGTAAGCAATGGGTGTTTTATTCTGTGACAGCCATGCTGAATGTCTCCTTGCTTAATAAATAAATCTTGAGAGACAGCAATGTCTCCTGTCAATTAAAGATGAGAAATTGAATAGAGAAAGCTTGAATAACTTATTCAATATCCCACAGAAAAGCTATCTCCAGATCTCCTGCACTTTCGGTTCTGGTATTAACTAATTCTACTAACTACTGAACTGTTCCATTGTCTTCCTTAGTCTTCCTCACAGAGAAACTAACTAAATATTTGAACTAGTCTTTAATTTGAACTTCCAAATCGAGGCATCTACTTCACTTTTATCCTTTTCCACACACACAAAAAAAAGGCTGTTTGGGTCCAATTTCTGGCACCTGCCATGTTACCGGCTTTTTATTGGTTTTGCTTCATGATCTATTCCCATCTGCTGTTCAAGATCCAGCAGACTCTGTCCCTCCCCTCTCTTCAGAGGCAGATTCACAAACTCTTTCCTACAGCTGAGGCTGGCAGGTTCTGGAGGTGGACGGATAAACCATATTTTAAGAAAACTTTGTCTTCCATCTAGTGCTCATGCTCCATACATAGTGACAGCAGCCTTGATGCAGATATGATTACAACATCCCCTAGCAAGTAAAGAATAGGCATTGCACAGAATTCATCTGTCTGATGCAACACTCACCTTCAAAATAAGAATAGGGAAAAAGACAGTCTTAAATGCTGCTAGGGAGAGCAACTCACTGTGTTCTGGAGAAGCATGAGAAAGTGGCCGATTTTGTCCACTCGTTTTCAAGGCTTAATTTACTCCTCTGTGATGAGGGTTAGATTTCATGCAGTTTTGATCAATCTAATTTTCTTTCTTATTTTAAAATCAGCAGAACTGCATGTGCTATAATGGATGGCTATCCGAGATAGATAGCAAATAGATATAGTACAAACCATACATGCAATTTCACTATGTATATCCTATCCTCTAAAAGGAGAAAAAGACACTGGCCCCGTTTTGGTCTTCTGGGATATTACCTGTCCCACTTTTTTTTTTAAGATAACTCAGCAGTTAAGTGCTGATTCCAGTCACACACTGTTAGTAAGGTTCCTGAGGCACAGCTGACCCGAACACTTCCTAGGCTCTGTGCTCTAAGGATACCCTAACCCGTGCACTTTGCCTAGCCCACATTCCTGTCACTTCCCTGTCACCAGCCGATACTCCCGTTACACACACACACAACGAGCACCTACGCTCACAGACTGAAGGCAAACAGCTCTGTACAGCTCCTCTTTGCATTCTCACTTCCATTTTTCCATTTATTTTACAGTATCCACTTTTCTTCCAACTAAAGCACATAGAGAGTCTTTCATGAATCCTATGACTAGTAGCTCCCAACATACCTCTACTGTTCATACACAACCACACTCCGTGATAGGGTCTCCCCCTCTTCCTTTCCCTAGGCTCCCTCTTACATTTTAAGGAAGTGGAGAGCTCCTGCTCCCTTGCTACCAGCATATTTTGGTGAATTCAACAAAGGTTAATTTTATCATAAATGGCAGATCTGAAGTCTGATTAACCAATATCAAGGAATTTGCATCCATGCCAACAAAGTGACAACCACCAGGTCAATCACATTTATAACAGATTTCAGTAGATTTTTTCATATTTTCAAAACGCACTTTGGGTATCACAAAAATCTGTAACTTTCATATCTCTGTGTGTGACACATGAAAGCAGTTAACCTTCTCATTTTTACACTTAAACAGTTTTGAAACTTTGGTTTATTCTAGACAATGAACATTATCATGCTACACTTGAGGGCACACCAATAGTTGTCATGCCTCCATCACTGATTTATATAAACTTAAGAGAGTTTATGTATAATGTTCCTAACACTTAACCTGAATGAGCAAGAAAAGATTCAGCAACATAGATCTCCCTCTGCATGGGGAACTTCTGGCCGTGTAGAAAGCTTCATTTCTTTTTAAATTTGCAGCATCTCACAGAGAAAGAACTTTATGGGCAAAGAGGCATTACAGCACTGGCATTTGTAAATTGAATCTTCCTTCACTCCGGAAACTCACGTTCTGCAAGCTTTTAGGAGGAACAAATATTAGCCACATTCAAAAAGCTTCTGCAGGGTTATCTTCTTGCTTACCATATACAAATATGTTAAAGCACACAGTGGTACTAACAACAAAAAAAAACACACACACACACAATTGAAAGCTACTCTTTCTTTGTTCTTTTAGTTTTAAAATAAGAATACCAAACTTTGCGGAAATTTAATTCATGTAATCATAGACATCCTTCAATAGTTAGGGCCAAATCCGGGATGCTGGCACTGACACTGCCATTTGCTCCAGCATATGCAAACACTGTGAAGAAATAAGGCGCAAAGCTACAAAACACATGATTTCTGCCTATGAAGTCCATGGTCTGAAAAATTTCTCACTGTGAATGGTTTTGACAAATTCTCCCAGATTTTGTTTCCCCTTCATCAAGGAAAACAAGAGGCTGAATTAGTGAGATGAGAAGGCAGGGGTGAAGGGGAGCTAAATTGCAAAGTACAGATCCAGTATGATAATCACAGAGAGAAGGTCTTGAATCTTTGCATGTGATGGTGCCTGGGCATGTACTCTAATTTCCTGTGACCAGCAGGCAATGCCAGGGGGTTCTGTGAAAAACTACTACACTAGTAGGCAAAAAAAACCACAGGATTTTTTTCCCCCCTCCATTCACAGAACTATGTCAGCTCCATCTAGACCTTTCCAACCTAACCAGCAAGGACTTCCAAGTATTACTCCAGAGACATGCTCAATACATATTAATCTAAGCACATTAGCATTTTAGTGATTCTACACAAAACTCAGGGCACATGAGAGGGGACAGAGGCAAGCCACAAGGCTTAAGCCAGCTGGAAGGGCTGTATGGGTTTTAGCCTAGCCAAAGACCAGTCCGAGTCCAAGCGTCATTTATCTACTGATACCTTTGAACAAAAGACCCCACCTATGTGGGATGAACAAAGACTATGCAAAAGAACTATTAAATACCGTGAATTAATTTCAATATAGCTCAAAGTATACTCAAAGCCAAATAAATCATGCCATAAAAGATAAAATCCAAAAATTAGTTATCAGTATCATAAAAAAAAAAAAATCACCTGTTTTAGGCCATAAAGCATTGACAGCAACTTCTCCTCTAAATTCTTCTGCCATTCCCAAGACACACATGGACATCCCATATTTAGAAATGGTGTAAGCTAAAATGAAAAGTATGAAGGAAAAAAAAAAGTATTTAGCATGATAAAAATTGGATGTTCAAATTCATACTTACAGGGAACAGAAGAGTAAAGTTACTTATGCATGAGGAAAACTAAGTCTCTTAGGACAAAATGGCGTATTATTAGACTAAAAATACACATACATACACTATCAGACCTGAACAAGTCTGCTATACTTTTTTTCTCTAGGACTAAAATGAAAGCTATGATTTTTTTTAACAAACCAATGACTGGTTTAACTGCACATTTTTTTGCTGTGCAATTTATTCACAGCATTCTGACAGAGATATCAAACTTTTCCAAGACCCAAAACATACTAACTGCTTACAACCAGACTAATAATATATGAGAAAAAAAAAAAAAGAAAAAAGAAAAAAAGAAGAAAAAAATAACAAAGTATTCCTACATCCCTTTCCCTCCTGCTATTTTTCAGAAAGGAAGCTTTTGAGAGAAAGAGAATTGAGAGAAAGAAAATTTTGAGAGAAAGAATTGAGCCTGGCTGTGGAAGTTTATGGCAACTGTCCAGTTCTGTTGGACCATTGGCTACCACTGAAGGGTGTTTACGGGTTTGAAAGGAACAATGTACATTTTAACCTCGAAACAGAATAGGGAACTCATTTCCTCATCAAAATTACTTTTAATTAAAAAAGACAACCTTTCAGTTTTATCTCCACTAAAACAAATGCAAAACTGAAACACTAAGAAAACCAGCATCTATTTGCTATTTCCATTCGGAACAGAAATCATCTTGAAGTTTTGAAATTCCCCAGAAACAGCAGAGATTCTTACCTACACAGCTTTCTTGAAAACTTAAAGATGTACTGGGCCATGAAACCTACAGTACTTTCTGCCAAAACAGTTCTTTTCATGCAAGGCACAGAGTATACTAAAGAACTGTTAGTGCCAGTACATCTTTATAGCTAAAAATACAAGACCTAGCATTCAGGAGTGTTGCTCCTGTCCATTGCATCTGTTTTTAATGGAGTTATTAAAAAAATAAATAAAAACATTAAACACAACCTACCACAATGATTTTTGAACCAGACGGGATTCAGATTAAGTGGCGGACTGAGATTCAGGATGTGGGCATTCCTACTCTTTCTTAAGTGAGGAAGGCATATTTTAGACCTGGAGGGTTGAAGTCAGAGTAAGTCAAAAACGTTTATTTTATGGAAAATGGTAAAAACTTTCTATCGGATCCACCATTATTTTCATTTATGCAAAGGTCCTTCACAAGGCTAAAACTCTGCCCTCATTCCAATTATTTAACTCATACAAAGAACAGCAACAATAAATAAAAATCTGGCCTATCTTATTCACTGGCACAGTTACTCGCACCTGAAAACTGAGTCACATCTTCCAATCAGTGCTACTGCAGCTATTAAAAGCATGTTTATTGCAGAGCATATGTATTGCTCAGCCGCTCTCCATCACCTTCGACAGGTCATGGAGGGCAGGGAAGGTGCCAGAGGACTGGAAGAAACCAGCATCACTCCAGTCTGGAAAGGGGGCGGGCAGGGGGGAGGAGCCAGGAAACTATAGGCTGTTCAGTACCACCTCCGTCCCTGGAGAGGTGATGGAGCAGCTCATCCTAAAGACCATCGCTAGGAAGGTCAAGGAAAACAAGGTGATCAGGAGCAGTCAGCATGGATTCCCCAAGAGGAAGTCGTGTTTGACGAACTTGATAGCCTTCTATGATGGGGTGACTGGCTGGCTGGACCACAGGACGGCCGTGGATGTTGTCTACCTTGACTTCAGGAAAGCTTTTGACACAGTCTCCCATAACATCCTCATAGGAAAGCTCAGGAAGCATGGAGTGGATGAGCGGACAGTGAAGTGGATTGAGGCATGGCTGGACGGCAGAGCCCAGAGAGTGGTGATAAATGGGGCCAAGTCTGGTTGGAGGCCTGTGGCCAGTGGTGTCTCACAGGGGTCAGTACTGGGCCCAGTGCAGTTCAACTTGTTCATCAATGACTTGGACGAGGGCACCGAGGGCACCCTCAGCAAGTTTGCAGATGACACCAAACTGGGAGGAGCGGCCGACACTCCCAGGGGCTGCGCTGCCCTTGGGAGGAACCTGGACAGGATGGAGAGTTGGGTAGAGAGGAACCTCATGAGGTTCAACAAGGACAAGTGCAGGGTCCTGCACCTGGGGAGGAACAACCCCAGGCACCAGGACAGACTAGGGGAGCGATTTGGGAATCCTGGCTGACAGCGAGTTAACCATGAGGCAGCAATGTGCCCTCGTGGCCAAGAAGGCCAATGGGATCCTGGCAGCATCAGGAGGAGCGTTGCCAGCAGGTCAAGGGAGGGGATCCTGCCCCTCTGCTCAGCTCTGGTGAGGCCGCACCTGGAGTATTGGGGGCAGTTCTGGGCTCCTCAGTATGAGAGACAAGCAGCTTTCAGAGAGCGTCCAGCGTAGAGCAATAAAGATGATTAACGGACTGGAGCATCTATCATGTGAGGAAAGACTACGCGAGCTGGGCCTAATAAGTCTGGAGAAGATTGACAGGAGATCTATCAGCATGTTCAAGTACCTGAGAGGAGAAAATAGGGAGGATGGGGCCAGGCTGCTCTGCATGGTGGCCAGTAACAGGATGAGGGGTAATGGGTGTAAGTTGAAACATAGGCAGTTCCATCTCCATATGAGGAAGAGCTTCTTTCCTGTGAGGGTGACAGAGCCCTGGAACAGGCTGCCCAGAGAGGCTGGGGAGTCTCCTTCTCTGGAGATCGTCCAAATCCGCCCAGATGCCACCCTGTGCCACGTGCTCTGGGTGTCCCTGTGTGTGCAGGGGGGTTGGACCAGATGATCTCTACAGGTCCCTTCCAACCTTAAGCATTCTGTGATTCTGTGATATTTTCAAAATGCTCAGAAGCCATAATATCCTTATAATAGTTCTGGTAAGTACAACAAAACAATAGTCAAGTTATCAGCACAGTGTGTCTTTTAGTCATAAATATAACATCTCTTCTGATCGCACATTTCTTCTTCAAAATCGTGTTACAGATGTTACAAGTGTGTAACGAAAGTCAATCCAAGCAAAACTGAAAATCTATTACTTGCTGACTGGAAGAGGCACCTATTTTTACTTAGAATTTACCTTGTTAAAGAGGAACATGTTCCTGTAAATCATGGCTTTCACTTTTGTAAGAGACTGTCACTCTACACCTAAGATGCATGTTTACATTGGATCTATACTAGAAATTAATCAAATTTTTAAATCAAAGTGAACAAAATAAAGGGAACAGAAGAGCCAACCTAC